CCGCAACTAACTCATTAGTCACATTGCTTGCAAGGCTTATAGTGATGTGCATTACTGAGAGGGCCCAGAGATACCTCTCCGACAATCGGAGTGACAAATCCTATTCTTGATCTATGCCAACTCCACGAACACCATCGGAGACACCTGTAGAGCACCTTTATAATCACCCAGTTACGTTGTGACGTTTGGTAGCACACAAAGTGTTCCTCCGGTATTCGGGAGTTGCATAATCTCATAGTCATAGGAACATATATAAGTCATGAAGAAAGCAATAGCAGTAAACTTAAACGATCAAGTGCTAAGCTAACAAAATGGGTCAAGTCAATCATGTCATTCTCCTAATGATGTGACCTCGTTGATCAAATAACAACTCATGTCTATGGCTAGGAAACTTAACCATCTTTGATCAATGAGATAGTCAAGTAGAGGCATACTAGTGACACTATGTTTGTCTATGTATTCACACATGTATTATGTTTCTGGTTAATACAATTCTAGCATGAATAATAAACATTTATCATGAAATAAGGAAATAAATAATAACTTTATTATTGCCTCTAGGGCATATTTCCTTCAGCGTCACGCCAGGATGTGGTAGGTAGAGACAGAGGGGAATGACTTAGGGAGGAAGAAGAAGCACGGAGGAAGGCTTGGGATTAGAGATAAACAGTATTCAGTTACAGATCGATGTCTTCCCCTCCTCGCACTAGCCTATAAGTAGATATCATTACAGGCCGCCATGGGCCAGCCCATCAGGCCACTCACGCACACACCCGTGAGCACAACCCAGGTCGTTACATGGGTTGATGGTGTAGAGATTGCAGATCCGCGGTGACTTAGAACGGAGAGCTGCGTGGACTTCGGCTTGCTCAAGTGCGGCATCTCCCCGCCAAACACCATGCACTCCATACCGCGGGCTGCCCGCGCATGTTATTTTCTGCCGCTGCGAGGCAACGTCATCGAGCTCCATGGGGTGGGTGAGGACTATAGCCGCACTGTGAGGAAGGACATCGTCTTGTCATTGAGCTTGGAAATGCACCAAAGGTCGCCGTGCATAGCGGCAACCTCGTACGGGTGCAGCGCGTCATCGTACTGCTCAACAAAGAGCGGGGCATTGAAGGAGAGGAGCTCGAGCAGAGCGGGACTTCCGGCCTGAAGAGGAGAAAGGCGGTGGGTAGTAGAGGCCGTTGACACAAGAGTGCCCGGAGGCGATGTGCTGCTCGCTGCGGGCTCTAAGGCGTGTCGGCATAGATGGACGGGCGGTGCTCAGTTTCATTAGATCTGATGCAAAAAGGATTGTGTGAGAAATATGCGCTTGGCACGTAAGCAAGTCAACGATGCAGGGCCGGTCAAAATGTGCCACGTCAGCAAAATACATTGGATACGGTAGGGCTGACCATAGAGGGACGCATTTCTGCGACCTCAATGACTGTAATTTGACACTTTTGGAATACAGTGATGAAAGTGAACCCTAGAGTCAAGTTCAGGTACTATAGATGTAATTTACTCAAAGATGACATTTCCTATAGAAGTTGTATCTATGCACTCAGCAAAGATAGTCGTTGCTGCATCCCACCACTCACTAGTAGAAAAATGGTCAAATGTTCAGCTCATTAGTCCCGGTTTGTATTTGAGCCGGCACTAATGTGACCAATAGTGTCGGTTCCAATAGCTAGACGGGCGGCGCTCATTAGTACCGGTTCGTGGCGAACCTTTAGTATCGGTTCGTGCCATGAACCGGTACTAAAGAGGTGGTAGCCTTTAGTACGGGTTGGTGGCTCCAACCGGTACTAAAGACCCCTCCCCTTTAGTACCGGTTGGAGCCACCAACCGGTACTAAAGGTGGTGGCCTTTAGTATGGGTTGGTGGCTCCAACCGGTACTAAAGACCCCCCCTTTTAGTACCAGTTGGAGCCACCAACCGGTACTAAAGGTGGTGCGCTGCCACCCGCGGTGCACAATGTTTAGTCCCACCTTGCTAGTTGAGAGGAGCTCGCATCGGTTTATAAGCCCCGCCTCGACTACCGTGTCGAGCTCCTCTCTAAGCAGGCCTTTGTGGGCCTATTGCAAGTCTTCTGCTCTATGGGGCCTACTAGGCCGTACGGGCCTGCATCCTAGCCCAACTAGAGGTTGGGTTTCTAGTCGTATGCAGGTCGTGCCGGCCCAGTAGCGGGCTGTTTTTGCTTTATTTAAAAGAATAAAAAATGGGACTAAAGGTCCCCAGACCACGGCGCACCTCGTGCCACGTGGTGGGCCTTTGGCCCCAGTTCGTGTTGAACCGGGACTAAAGGGGGGGGACCTTTAGTCCCCACCCTTTAGTGCCGGTTCCGGAACCGGTACTAAAGATCCTTACGAACCGATACTAAGAGTCATTTTTCTACTAGTGACTGGTCTTGTCCTCAGCAACAGTTGATGACGCTCAAAGAATCCGACTCTGCTTCTACCCTGTTAAAACCCAAGGAGTTCGCCAAATTTAAACCATCTCGCATTGCCATTGCTTCGATCGTGACAACGTCAGCTGCGAAGGGAATGAATCTGCATAAACCTGCAATAAATCTTCCCTTTTCATCTCTTAATATACCTGCAGTAGAACCCTATCCTTCATCTCCATGGAATGAAGCACCCACATTTAGCTTTATAAATCTTGCCTCTAGTTTCTTTCACTTGTATTCCACCGGTTCCCTCTTCTTCGATAGAAATTTCATGTAGTTTCCCACTATTGCTAGAATTGAGGTATGCCACCTAAAGTAAGGAGGACAAGAATCATGGTGGGTGTGACGTCGACGAAGCCACCAGAGATACCAACAACCGGCCGTGATTATCTCTTTGTCAGTTATACTTGGTATGATCGACAATGGTTGGTCAGGTTCCAACAGGAGGAATTCTAATACGGCTGACCCTGATCAGTCTACTTGTACTGCATGTTCAATGCAATCAGTCGGCCCTAGTCCACCCACATGCTTCTCGCCAACTCACACTGGAATAGCATATGCCGCATGTCTTCAAGATCCCTATGGCACACCGGACACCCCCGTCAACAGGGATGTGCCTATTAGCAAGAATGGAGTTTAGCGGTACAATTCCATGCAAGGCACGCCAACAAAAAAGTTGTATTTTCCGTGGCACTTGTAACTCCCAGAGCATCTTCCAAATCGTTGCCTGCATAGTACTGGTGGACGCTGAATTCGCTAGGGATTGACCCCTAAACTTGTGTGACCATTGTTCATGATAAGCACTCCTCACAGAAAATATTCCATTCCTTGTAAGATGCCACGCAATGAAATCATCAAAAGGTTGGAAATTTAGTGGTATTTGCAAAATTCTATTTGCATCGACGGGGTAAAAGATGTCTCGTATCAATTGTTCATCCCATTGAGCGGTGAGTAGATCAATGACCTCTACCACCCTCGAAATCAGAATCTGTCGGCCAGGTGTTATCACCCTTCTGTCCGGGCTTGAGGGTATCCATAGATCATTCCATATACTTACATTTTCCCCCAAACCAATTCGCCAAATGTACCCTCTTTTAAACGTAGTCAAACCCGCCACCAAACTCTGCCATGTGAACAAAGACCCATTCTTTGGTCCAGCGTGTAGTAGGTCCGTATTTGGGTAGTATTTTGCCTTCAAGATGCGAGCACAAATGGACTCCGGCCTTGTGATCAATCTCCAACACTGTTTCGCAAGAAGGCCAAGTTAAAAGTGTGAAGATCGCAAAAACCCATGCCACCATCACACTTCAGAATACATAGTTTCCACCACGAGAACCAGTGCATTTTTTTTGGTTTTCTTCATCATCTCCCCACCAATACTGAGCAATTACATCTGTGGTATCCTTGCAAACTCCCTTAGGCATACAAAAAACTAACATAGCGAACACATGAATGGATTGAGCCACTGCCTTTAACAAAATTTATTTCCCTCCCGTTGACAGTTGCTTTTCCATCCACCTCTTCAGAAGCTTCTTGATTTTTTTTCACAAAAGTATTCGAAGCTATAGCTTCTATCTGTTCCCACCATTGCAGGTAATCCAAGATACTTATCTGAGAGAGCTTGGTTGATAATGTTTAATTCCTGGCACATCTCATCTCTAGTTTGCATCAGAGTATTTGGACTAAAAAATATGCTTGATTTACCAACACTTACAAACTGTCCCAAGTTGACACAATAAGTCTCCAAACTAGCCCAAGTTGACAGAATAAGTCTCCAACACTCGCTGTAAGGAAGTAGCATTTAACATATCTGCCCTCATGAGAATCAGAGAATCGTCAGCGAATAGAAAGTGTGAAACTGACGGTGCATTCCTGCACACATCAGGTCTGTTAATTGACACCCAGGAGGTGTTTCATACAGCAATGCAAACATCAGATATTCCAGTTGTCAACAGATACAGCAATGCAAACATCAGATATTCCAGTTGTCAACAGCACATATCACATTTGAACTAAAATCACGACAAATATTTTGGAGTATGCATCTTTACCAAAGAAAGAATAAGAAGAAACAGTGCATAAGATAATTTTGTATACTCAGCCGTGGGAGAAAGAAAAATAATCAAAGAATACATGTACGCAACCAAAACGTAGCAGTTTGCCTGGAGGAATCCACAATTAATACAACGAAATCTCATGCACTTGTAGGCTCCTTCCTAAGGTAGATCGAGCCCAAACGGTTTCTACAAGAAGAATGGACCACCTTGGACAACAGCCCGCAGCGCTGAGAGACCGGAAAATTCCAATATTATTAATATGATATATTCTTCTAACATAACCTAATGAGCTATTAGTGGTGTATAATCTCTGCCTGCTACGGCGGTCGTGGAATCCTGCTGTACGGTAACTCAACTCAGAAGTGGTTGTCTATAAGGAACACCTATCAGATCACTCCATCCGTGCGGACTGTCGACACTGTGTGCCGTTTCTTCAGCTAGTAGAATGACTAGCTAGTGGCTCAACCGCTCAGATTTTGACAAAAGAAACCTACCCTCGAACCATCAAGTTTTTATACGCAATGCTTGTCATCAAAGCCTTCCTCGGTGAGCAGGCCTGTGACGAGTTTCTTTATCCTGTCCGCACCAGGCCCCGGGCGGAGATCTTGTACACGCTCGACGCTGAACTGTTTCCCTTTCACTGTTGTATTCAACAGATCCAACCATCCACCGGGCACGAATCCATCGGGTTGACGGCCCAGTATTTCCTGATCAATCTTGTCTAGGACAGGGTCTTCTCTTCCAAACTTCCTTGCAAAGGGAGCATTGCTGCTAAGCATACCGTCAAAGTCATTGAGGGTGAGGTAATGAGGATGCTGCTTTGGTGGGTTATCCCAGGAAATGAAATGCAGGTCATGGTTGACTGTGGTGTTGCGGAACTCTGGGACATTGCAGATGACTGTGTGGAAGTAACCCTCCGGAGAAGAGAGAAAATTGGCATAATACATCAGGACTGTCCTTGGAAGATTGTCCCATCCCCATATGCAGTATTCAATAAACCGATGAGTAAGCATCATCCATGCAGAGCCTGAAATATGATAAATGGAGCAAAACATGTATTAACATTCCACAAGTACAAAGTGGAGGGAAAAATAAAGAATTATGAATACCACATGTAATACAACAGAATTGCGCAAGAACTAACTAGTAGTGGTGCGATACAGGGATGCTTCAATTAGCTGTAGTCTGATCTACCAGAAGTACTACAAACTAAAATGCAAGGACGATTACATAAATAAAGAGCAGTATGTAAAGCTGATGCCTAATTATCATGTACAAGGTAATTTAATAACAGTGGTAAGACTTACTGAGAGCGTATCATGGTATGGGCAAACACAATTTTAGTCACTTTTTAAGCAATGACTTGCGAAATGGGGATTGCCATGCCACAATAGCAACATCAGTTGTGCAATGGGAATATGTTATTGCCAATGCAGGATGATAACTGTCCAAGGTGATGGAGGCAAAGGTAGGGAGACGAGGACTGAGAGTGCCATTCTACCACAGCCACGGCAGGGGGTGAGAGGGGGAAGAGTCTGACCAATGACCAGGACTAGCAGCAGGGAGTCCAAACAGAGAAAGAGCTATTTTACGGAAGAGTATTGGATCAGCATATCTGTCAGGAATTGTATTGTGTTGGGAAAGGCCTTAAGCCCAAAGGCCAAACATTCACAGTATGGATGGCATGCATTTGATAATGATTCAAGCAAAGAAGAACCAACATATTCTCTCATTTCATATGTATCTAATGAGCTAATCTCCTCAGCCATGGCACGTGGCTTTCTTGAGCACGTAGTTATTCTGTTGTGACTCTAGGTTCACAACAATTGATGATTGCAGTGCTATCAATCAACACCAAGCGCAGTATATAGTTTTGATGCATGATATAAATGTTTAGATAAACTCAACTTGTAGAAATAGAATTCCCATTGAATCAGGTTACTAAACAAAAAATAATGTTCTAAAATGATCAATTGGTTCATGATGGTGCTTACTTAAAAGGAATCAAGATAGCTATTACTTGTGCCATCTTTGGTCCAAAGTTACTCTGTCTCTATAGAGGGGAAAGTCCCTCTAAAGACATCAGCGGAGCAAAAACATAACACCGGCCTAGATATTCTAAATGTAGTACCCTTAAAAGCAGACTTTTTATGCCTGGGGAACTACATAACAGCATTGTGCGGCACACTTGAAGAACTACAATGAAAGCTATCAGCGCCACCTCAAGTGATATCTTCTAAGGATATTACCACTTTCTGGATGTAGGGAATAAAGTGCGCACACTATGATGTACCATCTGCTTCCAAACTACTCCCTCCGTCCCATAATGTAAGAAGTTTTTTGACACTCACTAGTAGTGTCAAAAAACGTCTTAGACTACCCACAGTGGGAGTAACATAGGTGGTAACATCACACATATCTAGATAAAATAGATGATGTGGCAAACAATTAATGAAGAAAGAGAGACATGTGGTAACATAGCTAGTTACTAGTAGTATGAGTAACATCACACATATCAAGGCAAGATGAGTTTATAACCTAATAAATGAAGTGTTGCATGACACCATACATATGTTACTCCCGACTATAGAGGTAGTAACATAGACTAGTAACATATGCATGTTACTAGTCTAAGTTACTCCCCATTGTGGCTAGTCTTACACTATGGGACGGAGGGAGCAATTACTAATCATTTCTTGACACTCAATAATGAGAGATTCTGGTGATATAGGAAGTGACAAGAATATACTCGTATTTATTAATGCAAGTTTCCAGAAATACTACTAGGTACTAGTGATAATTAGCATTAAATGATGGAACATTACACTAGTAAAACTAGGTTTCAAGTGGGCACTAAATGTTTTAACCACTGAACTAGTAAAACATGAGAACACTATCATATAAGAGCTGATATCATGGCTCGTGCTTACCAAAAAGAGTAAGCCTTTAACACAAAGATGTAAAACAGAAGTGTTCCTTATGCAAGCCTCTCAAGCATATTCAGTAAGCAGCAATAGGATGAGGTCTGAGTAATAGTACTCCCTCCGTCCCAAATTCAGCGACACTTATTTTGGACGGAGGGAGTCGAACATAATTTCACTAAGAAATAATAATTAAATGTAAATGACACAAGAATGTAAATGCATGGTTTAGCAACTAAAATGAGAAAAATACACGAGATGGCGCAAGTGCAGAAAAACGAATAACACAAACAATATAGCTCACACATTGCGTTAGCCACTAAGGAGGAGGCATTTACCAGTGAAGAGCTTGAATGCGGTCGGCACACTTCTTTTCTCTGTGATCCAGAAAACATCGGACTTCTGCAGGCTATATAGGCCTGGGTCGACGATCACGGGCTTTGCCCTCTGATACCTGCACAGAGACATTTAGCCAGCGCCCAACTTGTATGTGAACAAATAACAGCACTTTGAGCAAAATTCGATGCTTACTCCTTCCATCCGATGTCACTGGTATGCTCGATGAAGTTAAGCTCCCTTGGCAGGCCAGAGAGCACATACAACAGATCTGCAAATAATGCAAGAGAAGTCAGATAAACAGGGAGCTGTGCTATGTTAATCCTATATAAAGTCCTACTATCTGCTTCCTCAAAGACAAATCCTAATAATTAAAGACAAATCCTAATAATTAAATCCAAGTGGGGTGGTAGGCATAGCATCTAAGCTGGCACCACTGCAGAAAGGAAGATGAGCACAGGGCAGATACCGAATTTGGAACGACCCACTTTATTCCCATGAACAAGTAGAACAATCCAGAACAATCCAATACAGGAGTAGATCGACACAGGAAAGGTGAGGCAAGATTGGGTTGAGGAGGAGAGACCAGCAGAAGCATCCATATAAAGAAAGAAACGCCCAAATATGTGGCTTACTCCCCCATATACCACCTAGAACGGACAGAGGCGATCAAATCCAACAAAATCTCCAAAGCAGTGGAAGCAACTGTGCATAAATTAACCTAGACAAGGCACTTCAATTAATAAGCGTATAAAAATCGCGTCTTTTTCCCCGACAGTTCGACATAACCACCGGCGTCCAGTTTGAAAATTGGAGTCCTATAGTGGCCTCCAGTGACCGCGGCATGGATTCGATCTCGCCGGAATCGGCGCGAGGGCGAGCAGAGATCGCCCGTGGAACCGCGAAATTCGGATCGGAGGTGGCGCGTTGGTGCGATCCAATCGCGGAATTGAGGTGGGGCTGCAGATCGCATCTGCCTGCGCTTACCGTCCTGCGAGACGAGGGGGTAGTCGGAGGCGGAGAGGTTGATGAACCAGTCCCAGTCGCCGCCGTCGCGCAGGAGGATGGCGGCGGCGTGCAGCGTGTTGGCCACCATGGTCGGGCCCCGGTAGGTGACGAGGTTGGCGCGCGTGACGACCTTGACGTTGCGGAAGCGGGAGTAGACGGGGTCTGCGCGCACGGCGGCGGCCAGCTCGGCGCGCTCGGCGGCGGGCGCCTCGAGGTCGAGGTGCAGGACGTAGCGGTTGGCCGGGTGGTAGAGCGCCCTGAGCGTCCGGCGCAGCGCGACCCCGTCCCCGGCGGAGCCGGACACGAGGTAGGCGATCCTGGGCACGGCGCGGTGCGGGCGGGCGCGCGCCTCCTGCTGCTGCTGCCGCAGCTTGGCCTCGACGAAGAGCGGCTCCCCGGGGGCCGCGGAGGGGAGCGGGGAGAAGGAGAGGAGCAGCGCCCGCGACGAGGAGAAGAAGAGGGAGGCCGAGATGAGGAGCGATGAGAGCAGCACGGACGCCAGCAGCGGCGCCGCCCACCGCCTGTGGTGGTGCACCCCCGGCGCCGATCCGCCCCCGCTCCCCGGCGACGGCGGCTTGGTCTCCATCATCGCGATGCCCGCCCCGTCCCCCTTCTCAATCTGCGTGTCCACCTGTCCGCCCCCTCCTCCTCCTCGTCCGGCCTGGCGTCCGGCGGGATCGCGCTGCGTCCGTGGGGATCAGTCGCCGGGGCGCGCGGCGGCGGTGGTGGTGCGGGATTAAATGTGGCCGGCGACGGTTGGTGTTGGTGTTGTGGCGTGTCGTGGGGGGTGGGGTGGGGTGGGGTGGGGGTGGTGCTGGTGGTGGTGAGACTACCGCTCGCTCGCTCCCCTCTCCTCTCCTCTCTCCTCCCTCTCTCCAGGGGCGGCAGGGGCGGGTCACGAGACGAGGAGGCCGGAGGAGGTCGCGCGGAATTAAGCGCAAAAATCTACGGGGGAAGCCGTGCAGCCCTCCGGTTGGTGCGTGCGTGCCTGCTGACGGTGGGACGGACGAGTTGACTCAAGTCGGGTTGGCCAATGCGCACCGCCCGGTGGATCAGTGGAGTGAGGGGCTGGGTTTGGAATTTCGGTGCCCAACGGGGTGCGAGATGCCCTCATCTGGGATGAACTTTCGATGTTTGATTTGTTTGTACTCCATCCTAGGCCAGCTTAAAAACTATGCTGTCAGATGACAGTTACTTTTTCTTCCGACTTCTAAAGATAGACGTGAGGATCAGCGCATCTGCAACCGCGAGTAGCTAATCCAGCCCCTCAAACACTCCATACGCGCTCGGCACATTCATCATGACCCGTGACCGATCACCCCTCATTTTGCTTGTCTTAGCCGTCTCCCTCGTACTCAAACATTTATATCTATGCAATTTATGCAACATAGTCAATAAACCTATGTAGATCAACAAACTAGGAACAAACAAACATAATTCGAATCGTAATTCACATCGCTGCAGTAATCGGACAACCAAAAGAATAAGTTTTCATCGTCGGACGCTACTCAAACATAAAAAGAATAGATAAAACAGATAGACGGAGAAGGGCGGAGGAAATCATCATTTCCTCGCCGACCATTGTCCTTCAGCAGCAGCTGGAGTGGCGTTGTCGTCAGAGCTGGAGCCGTCAATGAGGCCCAAGTCGGAGAACGAGCAGATTTGTCATCGGACATCCTCTGGACCGTGCGGTCATGCTCCTTGGCCAGTTGGGCCGCCTTCGCCTTGGCGAGGCGGGACGCTTTGTCATTTTTGCGGCGGAGCAGCCGTGTGTCAGTCTTCGCTGCCGTGAGGGAGTGCGTCCTTCGGATCCACCGGTGCACACACTCTTACCCGACTGGGTCATGTTTTTATGACCAAGTATTGTTGTCCGCCCGGTCAGCTTGAGGAGCCAAGTGAAGTAAAATGTAATGGTAGACTATTATTTTGGACCAAACATAGACAAAATAGATAGGCATGTGTGTGTGTGTATAATGACATGGTGAGTAGTAGAATTTAATACTACTATACTTTGGCAGTTACTAGATATTTTTTAGGGCAGTTACTTTGGATTGAAGACAAAAGTAAGGATAGAGATGCTGTCGCAAAAGTAAAATCTAGTAAAAAATGCTTTAGAGGCTTACATCATTGATTGCTATAAATCATTAGTAGTCTGTTCTTCCAGAAAACATAGAAGCATAATCTTATTAAACTAAAACTTGGTAACTTTCATTATTAAATAGAAACAATATTTTCTATTTAGGTTAAATATATCTTATACTTCTCATGAAAATTGCATATATAATCTTATTACATGTTTTAACTAGCATATGCATATAAAAACATCAGTCAAAAGTGTATTTACGAACATATATTATGTTTCTGTTACTCAAATGTGGCAGAGCGAGCGTGCTCCTGGAATTCTGAACGAATGCTCTATGGTGCGCCTGATCCCATGCGTGAATGTCAACGCGATGACACGTGGCAATTCCCCGTATGCGTGTTGTTCGCTCGTTTGAACCTCCTAGAGAAAACGACGCAAACGTTCCCTCCATCCACCCCCAAGAGAAAACAAGACATGCATCTGCAAAGTCCTCTCTGTCTAGGATGACAACTACAAAAAAAATGTGTGGCAACTTCTTTGTGTACCATGGCATTCTTTTATGTTGTACCATGGCAAATCCTGGACATGCGTTGTAACTTCCTACTTTGTATCATGGCAAATCTTTTTGCTACAACGTGGCATACTTTTTATACCAACATGGCAAGCAGTTTTCTATTCTATGACATGGCAATTCTCTGCTACAACATGGCAAACCATGATCATGAGGCAAAAATATTTGATGTAGCATGATAAATCCTAATCGTGTGGGAAACCCTCCGTTGTATATCATGTCAATTTTCTCTGCCACAACATAGCAAATCATAACACATGGCAAGTTTCTCTACTGCAACATGCCATATTCTCTATCCACAACATGGTGCATCATGGCAATCCTCTAGCGGTGTGTGGGGAAGAGGATGTGGGGTGTCGTTCACTGGCTAAAGTCTCCCAGAGAGAACGACGTCGTTCACTCATTTGAGCCTCCCGAAGCAAACAATCGTTCACGTCAGGGGCACTAGGAGAGCATGTTCTCCCCCTGTTAGAGATTTAGAGTCCTTCTGTTAATATCTCGCCTGGTATGAACTTTCAATGCACTATCTTTGAAAAAAAAATCATGTTTGCTCGTTTGTTATCCACAACTCTACCGCATATCAACTTAAATATTACAACAAAATGACATTTACTTCTTTTTCCGATGGACAATTCCAAAGATAGACGTGAGGACAAGGATACATATAATAATCAAACGATGAAAAGTGGAGTTTAATGTTACAGTTCAGCCAGATGACAATTTAACTGTTAGTCTATTTTCCGAAGACATGCACTTTACACCAAAGATAAGCAAAATGATAAGGATGTGCACAACCAAATGGTGTCAAGCCGTAGAAATCAATACAATAATAGTTTACACCATTTCTTCAAGATAGTTACTTTAGAGCAAAGACAAACATAAGGATAGGGATATGTACAATGAGGTGATGTTGTAAAAGCATTTTTGCTATATAATCACATACTTTAGGGGTCGCGCTATTCGTCACCCTGGATGAGGAATAGTTATTCTTCACCCCCCTCTATTTTACCATCAATGCACCGTAATTTACGTTCCGTAAATTTTATCTTATTTCTGACGCAAAAAGGGATCGTAAGAGAATATATAATCGGCGTAAAAAATATTTTATATTATGTAAAATTACAAACGTAAAAACACAGTCTAAAATACACATAAACTGCAAATTTTCTTGTCTTATGACCTATATTTTTATTTTCTTATATCAAATTTTACGTAGTGAATCAATAGGAATGTAACTATTTGAATTCGAAACGTAATTTAATTATGAAATGATCGTAAGATTACCTCGGGTGAAGAATAACTTATTCCGCATCCTGGGTGATGAATAGTAACACTACATACTTTAGAGGCATAAATCATCACATGTTGTACTGAATGCTTGAAGATAACTCATACTAGTACCACATGTTATGTAGTAAAGACGCAGTCAAGCTTGTGAATTTGATTATTAAATTGGAAATATCCCAGTTTAGGTGAATAGTTTTCCTAGATTTATCACAAAGTACATGTATAGTGTTATTTTATACCCATTATTTCACTTTAGATCTTTTTGAAAACCACACCATATATCGGAAATCCAATGCAGCTCCCAGGTGCATGTGCTCCTGCTGCAAAAAATGATTTTTGAAATGTAAAAAAAATCCCACAAAAAATTGATGTGTTCATAGTCACATCCAAATGCTACTTGCAAATTTTTAGGTCAAAGGGTAAAGCGTTTTGGCATGCGCAAAAAAAATTGAAACCCAAATGTTACACCCAAATTTGATTTTCTTTGGCCAACGAAACACTGCTACTCCATTTCGTATGAAAATTGTCAAGCATACTTGCGATACTAACACAAACATCTACAAAAAAGTCAAAAAAATTTACTATTTTTTTGAATTTACTGTTCATGCGGGAGCAAATGGACCAGAAAGCCAAAACATATTCCCCATCATATATTAATTAATACAATGTGTTACACTTGTTTATTAGAAAAATTGACATGTAGGACGGGACATCACCCGCTAACAACCCTTTTGCCCTATTATGAAGATAAAATTTAGCTATCTCGTGAGCCACTTTGTTTTCCCCTGCTTATCTTCCCAATGGAGGACTGAGAGACTAGCTCAAGAACCTCAAGGTTCTATTTTAAATCCACGAGGCGACCTGTGAAGAACATCATCACACAAATATATTTTTTTCACAAAAGACCGTCAGTTTCCACCATTGTAGGCTTGTTTAGCGTAACCGACATGTAAAGTCCCATGATGCATGCTTGGAGTTTAGCTTCCTCAATGCTTGAACAGGCAAAAGAAATTCCCAAGATGAAAGGAGCACCAATCGATCATGATCTTGTACCACAACCCTAGTAGCGGTAATTGCGTCCTCTACAAGACTAACATCAACATTAATCTTGACAGAACCTACAATGCCTCCCAATTTGAAATGGTCTAGATAGGTGAAGAGTGACTAGTTTGATGCATAGCATGTTTACCTTTAACATACTAGATAATATTATAAGCCTTTGAAACTTGTCCACGAGTTGTCTAAAAAATTAACTGACATCGAGATATAAGCTTTCCCATCCTCCAAGATCATGTTATTTCTTAAGTGTGAAGCTCGCTAGAATAAAAGGAGTAGTTGAGTATGAACCTCCACATCCACCTTATCAAGCAGGAGGAGTAGCCAATCCTTTCCCTCTCATTTCAGAAAACCCCCGGTAGGCAAATTCCAAATTTAGCGAACTGCGAGACGAAGCCCCGTGCCTTAGAACAACTAGCAAAAGATCATTGAAGGTAGCGATGAAAATGGAGCGGAAACAGAAGGAACTGAGTGCTATCATATTTGTTTTCATATTTTTTTGCAGAAGCGGAAACGAATACAGAAACCCCGGAAATGAATACGGAAACAGATACTACCGGAAACGGACATGGAGCGAATACAAAGCGGATAC